TGCACCATTGTAAAGTTGAAAAATCCTAAATCAAACCATCTACCCGGGCCGGCCTGTGGCTCACTCGGGAGAGTGTGGTGCTGATAACACCAAGGCCCCTGGTTTGGATCCCATATAGGGATGGCCGGTTCGCGCACTGGCTGAGCGTGGTGCTGACAACACCAAGTCAAGGGTTAAGATCCCCTTACCGGTCATCTTTTAAAAAAAAAAAAAAAATCCACCGAAGTTGGGGACTGTCTGTACTGCATATGAATGTGTGATGTTTTAGCCCATTTTCTGTTATTGCAAGTCAGTGGTGACTTTCATGAATAAAACAAGAGCTTTGAAGAAACAAATGATTACAGTTAACTCTGTTCACTGAAGACAATGTGGAACAGCACAGAACTGGAAACAATATAAACGCATCAGGTTTGAGAATGGGTATATGTTATGACACAGCCCTACAGGGGAAAACCAGAGCTGTTAAAAAAAGATATATACAAGAATTTCTCTATTATCTTTGCAACATTTCCCCAAATCTAAACTCATTTTGAAACAAAAAGATTATCTGAAAATATTAACAACACTTGGTTCAGGAACAGCTGGACCTCCACACGCAAAAGAATGAAGTTGGACCCCTACCTGACACCATGTACAAAAATTAACTCAAAATGGATCACAGGCCCAACCATAAGAAGCAAAACTATAAAACTCTTAAAAGAAAATCTGGGCATAAATCTTGGTGACCTCAGGTTAGGCAATGATTTCTTAACAATAAAACCAAAAGCACACATGACAAAAAGAAAAAATAGATAAATTGGACTTATCAAAATTAAAAACTCTTGGGCCGGCCCGTGGCTCACTCGGGAGAGTGTGGTGCTGATAACACCAAGGCCCCGGGTTCGGATCCCACATAGGGATGGCCGGTTCGCTCACTGGCTGAGCGTGGTGCCGACAACACCAAGTCAAGGGTTAAGATCCCCTTACCGGTCATCTTTAAAAAAAAAAAAAAAAAAATTAAAAACTCTAGTCCTTTAAAGGACACCATCAAGGTGGTAAAAAGACAACCCACAAAATGGAAGAAAATACTTGCAAAGCACATACTTGATAAGGGACTGGTATCCAGGGTATAAAAAGAACTCTTACAACTCTGTAATAACCCAATTAAAAAATGGGCAAAGCATCTGAATAGACATTTCTCTAAAACAGATGTACAAATGGCCACTTGAAAAGATGTTCCATATCACTAATCATCAGGGAAATGCAAATCAAAGCCTTCACACCCACCGGGGTGACTATAATCCAAAGACTAACAATAACAAGAGTTGGCAAAGATATGCAGAAACTGGAACCCTCACACACTGCTGGTGAGAATGTGACACGCAGCAGCTACTTTGGAAGACAGTCTGGTGATTCCTCAAAAGGATAGAGTTACCATATAATCCAGCAATTTTACTCCTAGGTGTATATCTGAGAGAACTAAAATCTTAAGTTTGCACAAAAACTTGTATGTGAATGTCCATATGAGCATTATTCACAACAGCCAAAAAATTGAAACCTCCCAACTACCCATCAACTGATGGATGGATAATAAACTGGGATGCACCTGTACAACGAAATGTTATTCAGCCATAAGAAGTAATAAAGTACACGCTACAACATGCATGGACCTGGAAAACATCACATCAAGTGAAATAAAGCCAGACACAAAAGGCCACACAATATGTGACTCCATTTATATGAAATGTCCAGAACAGGCACATGCATAGAGCCAGAAAGCAGATTAGTGGTTGCCAGGGGCTGGAGGAGGAGGAACGGGGAGTGACTGCTGATGGGGACAGGGCTTCTTTCTGGAGTGATGGAAATGTTCTGGAATTAAGATTGTGGTGATGGTTGCATAATCCTGCGAATATACTATAAAATACTGAATTGTGAAGACAGACTTCTACTTTTTATTTGTAAATCCTTCTCCATGATTTCATATCCTTGTTTTCTCCCTAACTCCCCTCCCTTCCAATATTTTATTATGCAAATTTCAACATACAGAAAAGTTAAAAGAACAGCTGGGTGAGTACCCACATGCACCTCACCTACACTCTGCAATTAACACTTTGTTTTATCACGTATCTATTCACTTATCCATCTAATGTATTTCTGATGTGTTTCAAAGTTAGTTACAGATATCAGTAACACTGATCTCTAAACACTCAGGGGCATTTCTCCCTGTATTTCACGTTTGTCCTGACTTCTTAAAATTTCCAAAGTAGCTCAGCTGCAACAATACAGAAGAGGGCACAAGAAATAGCAAACCATGTCCTGGGCCCCGCTAACTTTCTCAGCAACTGAAGCACAGTCACCTCCGTAGACCATCTGGACAATCCTTCCAACTCCCTCGCTGGACAGGATTTCCCTCACACGCTTCAGTGTTTACTCCATGTTTACTGTGTGCAAGCCACACAGCTGAAGTCAGCCTTTGCATACGGCTGTCACCTGGCCTTCGTCACTTTCAAAACATTTCCCTGTGCAGCCAGAATTTTTCAGCACATCATCAGTGATGGCATCGTGACAGCTGGGTGCACAGGCGTCCTTCAAGCTATCTGACCCTTTCCCTGTTCTTGGACATTTAGGTGATTTCCAGTTTTTTAATATCCCGGGAAAGCCAGTCGCTGCCTCCCTGAGAGTCCTTTCTGGAGAGACTCTTACTTCAACCACATCCCTCACTGAAAGAGTTGGCCTAGGTCAGGGGTTGGCACACTTTCTCTGTAAAGGACCACAGAGTAAATAGTTTAGGCTTTGCAGGCCTGGCAGTCTCTGTCGCAAGGACTCGATTCTACTGCTGTGACACAAAAGCAGCCACAGACATGAGCATGACTTCATGACGACAAAACTCCATTTGCAAAGACAGGCAGCAGGTAGATTGGGCCCATGAGTTGTGGTTTCCTGACCCGTGGCATAAGTGGTTACGCTGGAATCAAGAACCCCCAACCCAATTAGACCTGAGTGACACCAAGGTAGGCAATCGGTCTCTGCTTCCAGGGAATGAAATCAGGATGCTGGGCTACTGACTAAGCTGGTCTTCGAGAGCGGAGCTGGGAGGTCACGTAGCCTGAAGCTACCATTCTGGTCAGAGTATAGCAAATGAGGGAGTGAAGGAAGTTGGTCAGACAAGAGAGGATGCACAGAAAAGAACAGAATGAGGAACACAAGCTCGTCCCTGCCCCAGGACCTTTGCACATGCTACCTTCTGTGCTGCCACATTTTTCTCCAGTTCTGCAAATGGCAGACTTCTTCCTGTTCTTCAGGTCTTGACTTAAATGACACCTTCTCAGAGAGCCTTTCCCTGACCACCTGTGAAATTAGAAGCCCCCCTCCCATTTGCCACCTCACAATTGACTGTTTCCTATTTGCTTGTTTTTCTGTCCGTGCCCTACCTGTCACATTGTATACTCGCCGAGGCAAGGACTATGGCTGTTTTGGCCCCAGCTTCAACCCCAGATCAGCCCAGAATCAAGGAATGGGAACCTAGAGAAACAAAAGGCTGGAGTAGTCACCCAACACGATTCCATTTTCTGTTAGCCCCGGTTATGCTTCTTACACCTTTCTGCAAATTCCTTGATCTCTTCACAAGCCCTCTTTGTTCCTGGGTAGGGCTCATCCATGCTCCCTAATCCTCTCTGGCAAAGGAGGACACCTTAAGAAGGGTCCTTCTAGGAATACATCCTGGCCCTCCTCCTGGGCTCTAAAACACTTGCTAGAGACACAGTGAAACCCTCTCTTCCTCAGATCTCCTAAATCCTGGAATCATCTCCTCAAACAGCCACTGGGCTGGCCTAAGGGTCACCTAGCAACCCCAAATTCAGCATCTCAGTCACTTAGGACAGCGAATGGGAGGTGGCAAATGGGAGGGCAGCTCCCAGTTTCACAGGTGGTCAGGGAAGGACTCTCTGAGAAGGTGTCATTTAAGTCAAGACCTGAAGGACAGGAAGAAATCTGCCATTTGCAGAACTGGAAAAAGGTGTGGCAGCACAGGAGTAGACAACTTTTTGTCCTCTTCCTTTTGGGGGGAAGCATGTGGGGATGGACGCAGTGAGGCCAAAAACACCAGATTCTCCTCTCATATTTTCCCTGAGTCCACTTACTGTGAATCTCCAATTCATTAACAGCAGTATCAGAACTATGGGCCTAACGGTGGAAGAAAAAGCAATATGCTTGGAGTTTTTTTTTTAGTCTAATGAGAAAACCAAAGTAGGCATAAAAACAGAAATAAGGTCTGAATACATTTCTGCTGGCTTCCAGCAAGGCTGGAGCAGCATCTGGCCAGCACAGTGGACACTGAAGCCACATTTTCCACCATGGCAGCCGCCAAGTATATGCTAAACACACCAGAGCTGGCGAGAGGTGACAGGCCACGGGCTCAGGGAAGGCATCTCTTGGCAACCCCTGCCGAAGTGCCAGGCACAGCCCAGACTTGGAGAACACCATGTTCCAAGTGAAGCTACAGCCTGGTCCAGTGGGGGCCATGTCAGTGTAGTTTAACCCCTTTAAGTCCTAGGTTCTTCACTTTCTCAGAGTTCTTATTTTGCAAGCAGAAAGCATGACACAGAAGTGCAGACTGAAAGGACAGAGGATGACCATCTTGGTCATAATGGACAATGATGCTGAGGAGTTGACACTGAAGGACACAGGCAGGCCAGACTTACACGATCATGCAGAACATCATGAAAACATTCCACAGGGCAATGAAGATCCGAAAGTATCTGAGGCTCAGCAAGAACTCCCGGATGTTGTCACCTGGAAAGTCAGAAAGCACTTTTATGGCACAGCTAACATGCCCACTGTCACCGTGGCAGTGGGCTTTTGTGATTTCTTCCCATCCCACACCCTCTGCCCCCACCTTCCAGTGACAGTGCTGGCTTTTTCCTTGGGTCTCTTCTGCTTCCCCACCCTCAGAACTCAGGCTGTGGCTACCACTGACCAACTCCCTGAGAACACCAAGCCCCACAGCCTGATTGACTCCGGGAGCATGTGACCCAAGTCTGTCCAGTCGTAGTCAGCCCTGGGAAAGAGACACTTGCTTTCTGCCAGGCTTGCTGGGCTGGGAAGATGTGAGCTCGGACTACTAGAGTGGGGGTCTGCAAACTACAGCCTGCAGGCCAGATCCAGCCCATCACCTGTTTTTGTATGGCCTATAAGCTGCGAATGGTTTTTACATTTTTAAACAGGAAAAAAAAGAATCAAAAGAATATTTTGTGAGACACAAACATTACATGAAATTCAAATTTCAGTGTCTATAAATAAAGTTTTAGGGCCGGCCCGTGGCTCACTCGGGAGAGTGTGGTGCTGATAACACCAAGGCCCCGGGTTCGGATCCCATATAGGGATGGCCGGTTCGCTCACTGGCTGAGCGTGGTGCCGACAACACCAAGTCAAGGGTTAAGATCCCCTTACCGGTCATCTTTAAAAAATAAAAATAAAAATAAAAATAAAATAAAATAAAGTTTTATTGGCACATGGCCGCACCCATTCATTTACATACTGTCTCTGGCTGCTTTTGTACTATAATAGTAGAGTTGAATCCTTGCACCAGACACCATATGGCCCACAAAGCCTCAAATATTCACTATGTGGTCCTTTAAAAAACATGCCACCTCTGCTCTAGGGTCATCTTTGCCCACACAAGCCAGCCTGATGGTGAAACCAACACAGAAGAAAGGAGAATTAAGAGTGGAAAGCAGTCAGATGCTGGAGGGTTGATTTGAGACTGGAACCCAAGGGTGCCTAAAGACAATTCTACTCTTGCACATTTTAATTTGCTTTAACCACCTTGAGCTGGGTTTGTACTGTTTGCAATTAAAATAATCCTAATTTGGGCAAGTCAAATGGGAGGTTTATTTGGTAATGACTTCCTCTGATCTCCTCTGATGCCAAGAACAGAAACCTCTAAAAGGGCAGGAAATTTGGTCCATTAAAGACTCCAGAGACCTGGGTTCCAGAACCTTCCTCCAGGATTTCAAGTTGACCATCCTCCCTCTCTAACACTCCAGAGTGAAAAGTAGGGATCCAGATCAGGTGATCCACAAGGTGCTACCAAAGCATCTACACACTGGGGCTGTTCGGTAAGTACACGACAGAGTGCAAGCTCAGAAACTTTTATAGGGCTGGCCCGTGGCTCACTCGGGAGAGTGGTGCTAATAACACCAAGGCCATGGGTTCGGATCCCATATAGGGATGGCCAGTTAGCTCAGTGGGTGAGCATGGTGTTGACAACACCAAATCAAGGGTTAAGATCCCCTTACCAGTCATCTTTAAAAAAAAAAAAGAAAGAAAGAAAGAAACTTTTATGGCAACCTAACATCGCTGCACCATCCCAGCTCATAATCAGTGCATTGTCTTGCTGAGCAAGGCTTAGGTAAGTCTGGTATTATCCAACTAATGGGGTTAGCCATATGCAGTCCAGCACAACTGGAAACATTAAGAGACAGGTCTGTCCCCACCATGTTTGGGAGATGCTGCTTGGCAAGAACCTCCCCCAGCCCAGGATCATGAAGATGGGCCCTCCCACCATCAACAGGCACTGACCAAGCAGAAGCCAAGTGCAGGGGATACAGAAACGCACAAGACAGGTGTCCCTGGTCCAAGGAGCCCACGGGGAGAACAAATATTAATAAGTAATCACATATGATTATTCACCATGATGATTACTTTGTTGGGAACGTTCTGGTGTTCTCTGAACATACACTGGGGGAACCTGACCTAGCGTGTGTACGGCGGGGGCAGGTTATGAAGAAGCCACTGCGAGGGATGGCACAAGCTCTGAGCTCAAATGTGGGCAGGAGTGCGCTGCGGCTCAAATGCTGGCTCTGCCCTTCTTCTGCACAGGTGACCTGGGCCAGTCCCTGGACTGTCTGTGCCTATTTCCTCCCGTGTAAATGGGGGTGATGGGTGGCTGGGAAGACCTTAGCACAGTACCTGGCACACATGGGGCTCTTAACAAATGCAGCCACTATGGTATCAGGAGTCAGCCAGGCAAAGAGGATGGAGGGCAGGGGGCACTACCCACATGGGGCACAAGCGCAGGGTGCTGGCTGGAAGGAGCCTCGAGGGACAGCAAAGCTGGCTGGTAAGAGGCAGACCCCGAAGCATGCAGAGAGTTCCTGATCAGGGCAGAGTTGCCTTCCTGCCATCCCCATCCATTGCTGACACTCCAGCCACTTCTGAGCCCTTGTGCCAAATCTCTCACCCGCCACAGTCTATTCAGACCTGTAGAGCACAGCCACAGGGCCTGCTAGTGTCTTCCACATAGCAGATAAGCAATACATGGCTGCTGGATGGATGGTCGGTCTAGTGATTGACAGTACAACCTCTGGGGTCAGAAAAACCCAGGTTCCAATCCTGACTCTGTCACCGATTTGTTGTGTGGTGAGGGCAAATCAAGCCACATCTCTGAGCCTCAGTTTTCCTCATCTGTAAAATGAGGAAAAGACCCTTACCTTTTAGGGATGGAGGTGGAATAAAACACCAGTAGGAGGCACCTAACAGGGCAGCCACCCAGGGGCAGGCCCCCAATAAAGAGGAGCTGTTGGACTGTCTTCAAAACCTCTGCTCCTCAGAGTTCCCACATCCTCATGCAATGCTCTATCACAGCACCTATCACCTTAACTGTGATGCCACCTCCTCAAAGGACCTTTCCTCCACACACCCCAACTGGAGCAACCCCATCACCATCCTACATCTCCGTCATGTGCCATCCTTACCTGACATTATCTCCTTCACCATCTGTTCCTTGTTTAGGAACCATCTGTCCTACCCCATTTTAAGTTCCATGAGGCAGGGACTATATCCATCTTGTTTCCTGCTGCAGCACAGTGACCAACATGTAGTAGGTGCTCAATAAATGTTTGGTGGGTGAATGAATGAATGAATGAATGAATATAGGTTCCACCAGATTCCAAATAGTCACATGAATAAATTCAGCAAGGATTATAAATTCTGGAACCTGCAGAGACCAAGTAGGTGAGATGACATAAATATGATGGATAGGGCGGGTATGAGACAGTCTACTGGCCCTGCCTCAATGGGTCCAGCTTCTCAACCCTACTCAGTAGGTGCTAAGCGTTCTCCTAAATCTCGACTTGCAGGATGTTCCAATTTTCCAAAAAAAAAAATCAGACATCTAAATTATTATATAAAATGTCCTGATTTATTCAAAATCTAATGTTGGCATCTAACTTAAAAAACAAAACAAAACAGGTCTGCAGCACTCTGAAAGCAGTAACTACTTGTGAGGCTGCTCATTCATTCATTCATTCATTCATTCAGGTGCACTGGAGTGCTGGCACCTTGGGGATGAACGAAGACATGCTCCGGCTTCTCTGGAGCTCATAGTGAGCTCAGGGGTGAAGGGCAGACAGTAAGTAGCCAGATAACAGCACACAAAATGGAAAATTATAGGGCCGGCCCGTGGCTCACTCGGGAGAGTGTGGTGCTGATAACACCAAGGCCCCGGGTTCGGATCCCATATAGGGATGGCCGGTTCGCTCACTGGCTGAGCATGGTGCTGACAACACCAAGTCAAGGGTTAAGATCCCCTTACCGGTCATCTTTAAAAAAAAAAAAAAAAAAAAAGGAAAATTATAACTGCAGGAAGTGACATTAGTCCTGACTTATCTGGGAAGTCTGGTGGGAGAAAGAAGTAGGTGACAGAGGTGGGCAGGAAAAACAGAACACCCTCAGGCCCATCTCCGTCTCTCACTCCCACACTCAATTAAAAAGAAAACTGGGGAAAGACTTGGTGAGAAAGACCTGTCCTCTCTGAGATGGACCGTGCAATTCCAGGGTCCAGGAAAGAGGCCTTACCTGTGCTGGGCTCCCTCGACTCCTCCCCAAAGCCCTGCGTGTCCTTCTTCTTCCTACAAAGAGGAGCACACAGCATCAACTCTTGATGGGACATAAAGACTGCTCAGTCTCCTGACCCTAACACCCAGCTCAGAAAGCAGTGGACACTAAGCCTCAGCCCTAGCCCTGCTGCTGACGTGCTGTGTGACGGCAGGAAGTCCAATGTCCCTCTCTGGGCCATCACCTGCCCCATCAATCACAGCCAACCTGCAGGCCACCACTTGTCAGGGTGGACAGAGTGGTCTGGCAGCGGGCTGAGAGTCCAGGGTAGGGCTGTTTCTTGGGGAATGGGCCTGAGGCTCTCCTGGACTGTGAGCAGAGGAACGGAGGGTCCGGATTTAAAGTCTCGGGACACAGTGGAAGGTCAGGAGACTGAACCAGAATGGAGGCCTGGCCAGAGAGCGGGGCTGGGAAGCGGGGGCGGGGCCTGAGACAAGGGGGCGGGGCCCGCTCACGCTCGCGGGGGCAGGGCTACGGTTCGCCGGGAGGAGTCACCGCCTGGAGCGGCCTACTCACAGCTTAAAGTTGAGCACCGCCCCGGCATTCATCAGCAGCGTCCTGCGGAGAGAAAGTTATGGTTACTAGAGCCGCCCCCCATGCCGTCGAGGCCTCTCTCCCCAGCCTCTGATCCCCCTGATTACCCGAACAGCAGGATGTCCCCGATCATCGTTACGGCCGGAGCATCCGTCAGAACCGGAAGCGGAAGCCCCTGGGAGGGAGGGGAGAGAATCACAAACTGACCAATCCCAAAACGAGGCTGACGAGGGACGGGCCAATCGAAGGCCAAGGCAGGCAGGGTCCCGCACACTGAAGGCCACGCCCCCTGAGGAGGGAGCTAGCGCCCTTCCTCTCACGGGAAGCCCGGTGCGTCGGTGAGGGGGGAGAGGGACGAGCGTGTGACCTCACCCGCGGGGGAGGAGCTGTGTGGAGGCGGGTTTGTCACGCATTGGACGCGTGCTGCGCATGCGTGACGTTCAGCTAGCTGTAGGCTGCGATTGACAGCGATTTCTTCCCACACGCTGGGGTCGCGGGTCGGGTTACTGGCGAAAGGGAACCCCCGCTCTGACCACTGAGCAGCAAAAAGGGCGGGGTCCTGACCCTGTGCTCTCCCGCTACACGGGCCTCCCAACTGACTGGGCTCCAAAAGGGAGTCCTCCTGGGCCCCACGGGAGGCGGGGGTCCCCACCGAGCGGTCCCTACGGGGTCGGGGGTCCTGACGAACGACCCTGTGGGACAGGAGGGTCTTGACTCGGCTCCATAGAAGGCGGAGGTCCTAACCGAGCTGCACGGGGCACTGGGTCCTGACTGATGGGATCCCACCAGGGAGTGGGGGTCCTGGCTGGGCTCCACAGAGGTCGGAGGTCCCAATCGAGCTGCGTGGGGGCAAGGTCCTGATCGATGGGTCCCACAGGGACGGACGTCCCGCCTGGTTGGGCTCCATGGATGGGTCCGGCTTGCCTTCCACGGGGGCCCTGCACCTCCACCTCGCCGGGCTGAGTGGGGTCGCGATGGCCCGAGGGACAGGGTGTGGGATACCCGACCGTGTTTCCAGCTCCCTACGACTAGCCGTCGCCCCTCCTTTCCCGGGGGGCCGGGCCGGGGGTGGCGCCTGGCGGGCGGGGGCG